ATATATATATCTATATACATGAAGAGAACAGAATCATGAATATATTTTCATCCTATATAGAGAACATCAAATATGTTTTATGCATGTTTCATTGACTATTCATACATTATGCATATACAAATAAAAGAAAGAAAAATAGAACTAACTCTTATTCGCTTTTCTATGGTTGGGAAAAAAGTATACATTTTTTTTATCAAAATGTTTCATTATTTATATTATGTGTACAATGTAACTGTACAAAACTGTAAAAGGAATGGACCAACGCGATCCCTGATCCTAGTCGAATAGACCTGTAATTAAATAATAGATTGCAATTAAAATAGAACTAGTTATATCCATTGAACAGGATGATTAATTTTTTATTGTATTCTCATTTTTTAAATATTGTCATCATGTATACTCTGTAGCTAATACATGCTATATTAATCACTGAATATTTGTATTTTCTTTCAGGCAAAATTTCATTTTTTTTTTTATAAAGTCTGGTAAAAATCAATATTTACAGATTTGGCGGAAAATATCGGTAAAACTGTTCTATCAAAAGTAATAAAACAAATTTAGAAAACTTTATTAACAATATTTTTCAGTATCCTATTATCATTATTCTATTTTAGTATCAATTGTTTTCTAAATTTTTAAGTTTCATTCAAAATAAAAAATGATAATAGATTGGGAATGTTTAATTACTTTCTTGAGATTTAAATAATATAAATTTGATAAATTACCAAAGCCCATATCATCATCTGATTCTTCTTCTGGTTCTTCCTTCTTCTTTTCTTCTTTAGTTGGAGCAGCTTCTGTGCTAACGGGCGCCGCTGCAGCTGGAGCTTTAAAAGAACAAAATAAAAATATTTTTCATACAGAAATAATAATTAAAAAGATTATATTTGCCTGAATAAATCAGTCAAAAAAATAAAAATTTATATCATATTATATATGATATTCTAACACAATTTTTTTATATTTTTAATAAAAAATTATTGTTAACAAAACTTTCAAGATTATATTTTTATTGATAAAATCAGAAAGTTCGTTATCAGTTTCCTTTGACCTCTTTTGCTGACCGAGCTAACAATTTAAAGCTAGATCGGTGGATGAAGAGGTTAAAATTTGTAAGTCTTCCATAACTTATTAAGCATAAAATTCTTTCAAATTTATTTTTAATTGCTGCAGTTACTGATATCAAGCTTTATTGATATCAAGATATAATCTCATGTTTTTTTTAACATTTTTTTTATTAATAGCAATTTGAATTTCTGTGATTCTAATGATATCCAAGCAATAGACATATTTGAGCTTTTAACAATTGAGCAAGAATTTTGCAAAGATTGATGGAAATAAATCAAAAGTTATTGCATTGAAAAGAACAAATTCAGAATCAAAACATGTGTTTCATGTATAAATTTGTTTATCAAATACATCTTAATTACTTGGTAATTGTATTTATTTAATAACTTTATGAATATATAATTTACACACTACTGTAGAAACTCACATAAACATTTGTATTTGTATTGGTTAAAAAAGGATTTGCATCTTAATTATTTATTCTCAATAAAAAAGTACATATATTACCTGCTCCTACAGGTGCGGCTCCAACACCGGATCCGATGTTGGTAATTAATTCCTTAACATTTATGCCTTCTAAAGCTTTAGCGAAAAGTCCAGGCCAATAAGATTCAACATTTACATTGGCTGCTTTTAAAATTGTTTGTATTTTTTCGCCCTGTGAAATTGAAATATAATAATTCAAGAGAACATATTAATAATAAATTACATTTATTTTTCATTTTCTGTCTGGATTCAACTTTCATATTTTATGAATGAAGATAAAAAAAGGAGTTTGAAATATATAATTCTTTATTTCGAAAGTTCATAAAAACACTAATCATTAAAATTTAAGACTGAATTTAAACTGGGTTTGATTTTGACGCTAGCGTTTCTCTCTCTGTTTATTTTATATCTAAGGAACGATAAAAAAGAATAAATGCTTAAAGCGCATAAAAATCTAAACTTTACGCACCCTTAAGCTTTAATTTTATCAATATATTTTTAATATAAACAAATACGTATTGAGAATTCAGTAACAGAGAGGTTAGTAGACACAATTGAAACAATTCTGTCAAAAGGGGATATAATACAGATGATAAAATTATTTAATAAAAACGTAAAACATAAAAACGTTAATGAAATACCGATAATAAAACATACTAATAAAATAAAAAATAACGTAAAGGTGATAAACCCGCGTGACGATATAATTTATACTTACAGTTACGGCAATATCATCGTCAACGAGTATCAACGCAGAGTAAACGCACGCAAGCTCGGCTTCGGTCGTCATTTTCTTTGTTTAGATTTAATTACTGAGAAACGGATGGAACTTAAAATTGGAGTAAGTCGTCGATAAGACCTTAGCCCTACAAGAGAGAACAAACACCCAAGTTCGCAACTTTACCGGAAACGAAAGAGGATTTTACCGGATATGACGTGTGAAATTAACATGGTAACTGATAAGCTGCTATTTCATGTATCGCTTGATAAGACTTTTCAAGCCTATTGATTGGCTGCAGAAATCCGAGAATTTTTCTGTTCCGCAGCCAATCAACAGGCTTGAAAGCCTTGACCGACATATAAAATATCAGGCCAATCATTTCAATGGGTGCGCAATAAGTAGTAAATTTGTTCAATCAAGAGTTCTAAATTTCGGATCTATCAACTCTTAGAGATCGATTCTGTATCTTGAAATGAAGTGAAAATTATAAAAGTGAGCGAATTTATTAGAATACTGATTATTTCATTGGTCAATCTAGTAAATTTGCTTGCTTTTGTAATTTTCATCTTGTTGAAGATACAGAATGGATCCCTAGAACTTATAATGTCAGATTGCACTTTTCTGCACTAACACTTCACAACGAAAAAACCTATGTTAGACTAAAAGATATACAAATTAAGCATTCGTATAATATTTCTTTTGGTTCATAAGTAAATTATTTACAATTAAAAAATTGATTTACATATTTTACGGCTTTATTTTCCCAAATAAACTACCTTTATATAAATACATAAGTTTGAAAATGACCGCGTTTTGCGTTACGATGGAGGCAAGTTTGCGGTATTTTAGAAATCTAGTGACTTTAATTCGCAGTATTAAAGTATGACAAATTTCCTAACCTCAATAGTTATCAAATTTAACGCTTAATATCTCCGTTCTTGCAGAACAACGCTTATTGCTGTCAGATTCTTTCATTTCGTGTAAAAACATTGAATAAGATTAATTTTATTGATATTTTATTTATTGATAATTTCGGAGCTGCTATAGCGATACTATATAATTACTACTCTAAATTGATACATACAGTACGTATCAAAATGATTAATCAAATATTCATATCATATATATGTTTACATGTACCGTCGAAATTAAGATAATTCAATAGTAAATTACTAATTAGTATTAAGTGTATTTAAACTAGAATGTAATTAGTTCGCACCAATTTAATATGTATATTAACTGATTTAATGGTATAAAAGGGATCATTGTATAACCCCCATTACATTTACAATGAACTAGATTGAAAAAAGAACGATACATATAAATAACAATCGTCGATATTTCAGATATTAGCGAATATGACTGGCCTGGGCATGGACTTTGAAGATGATTTCTTCTTTGAAGAGGATAAAATGTTGGTTATGTAAAAAATTGTGGATATTAATGTTTATTAGTTATAGTTTATTATACAATATTTGTTATGCTATATTTACAGCCTTAATATGCTTTCTTTTGGTCGTAAAATGCATGCCTGAATGTTACTGTGTGGTGGAAAAGTTTAACAAGTGATTTAATTATTTCAACCACGTTTACAAATACTAGTATGCTTCAAAGTTTACATATCAATTTTGGATAAAGCTTTTATCGCTCTAACCACCATACTATTGGCTAGCATGGAAATACACCAACTGGCTATGATGGAAGATCGCATGTATGCACTGTTCTTGTATTATTTTTATATTATATATTTTTATATATATTTTGGATTATATTGATTTTTTTATATTCTTGTCTTTTTGCGTATCAAATTCAATGTTTTCCTTTTATACTGCTTATTGGGATTTAGGCCAGATATAGAACTGGTCACGCAAGATCATATATATATACAGCCACAACTCGTCAATCTGTAAGTTTTGTTATTAAACATTTTATCATGAAAAAAACATTTATATTATCAATTTATTATATTAATATTGCAGGGAACTCGAGTGAAAAACCAAATATAAATGAATTTCTTAATATATGAATCTTCATGGTTTTTAATGCATGTTTATAATGCATATTTATAAGATGATAAGATATAATTTTTCTAATAATTTAGATTTAAATTATTGGAATGTACTTATCAATAAAAATTGTTGATAGTACATTTAAATTGTTTGTAAATTATATTTTATTGCCTTATATTATTGACAGACAATCATGGAAGTTCATACAGACAGTTTATATTTGATTTATTCTTGAAAATCAGAAAATATTTTTACTGTTAATTTAATTCAGTAAAAGATTTATCAAAAACGTATAATGATTGTTTTTTTTTTTTTTTTAAATTAAAAGCACTTAAAATTTTATAGTATGAAATTAATATATTATTAAATATTTATATAACTTAAAGCTTATATGTTAATAAATTTACATTGCCTTTGGATATGATTTTTAATATTTTATCATGATAAAAAACAAAAGAAAAGATTTTTTTATATTTTCTGTATTTTCTGTATTATATTTTTTGTATGCACAAAACTATTATGCATCATTAATTTTAACTTTTTATTATGTATATTTAGTTATACTGTTTATATAACTTTTTATATGTATATATTATTTATATGCAAAATCATAAAATCAAAAACATGAAATTTTTTCATTTTGATGATTTTCAATATTAATATATATTATACTCTATGTGCATTATTTATTTAATGTTTAATTATGGACCTATTTGAATTTTATAAAATCTGAAATATTAAAATTAAATAAGATACTTATACGAATGAATTAACTAAGTACAAGAAGTATTTATTATGAGGTATTTTGAATATTTAATTTTTTCTAAAAGATTTAAAGTGCTATATATTTATATTTACTCAAAGATCATATTATATATGGTTTTTATAAATTTTCTTTGCATTTCAGGGGCATGACAATTACATCTGGAAATGTCGTAATACAAAAGGATACTAGTAATCTAATCGGTATAAGTATCGGCGGCGGTGCACCACTTTGCCCATGTCTTTATATTGTACAAATTTTCGACAATACACCTGTTGCTGTAGATGGTACCCTTCAAGCAGGAGACGAACTTGTGGCAGTGAATGGAGCATCAGTAAAGGGTAAAACTAAAGTGGAAGTTGCAAAAATGATACAATCCTGCAATTCGCAAGTCAGCATTAATTACAACAAGTTACATGCTGATCCAAAACAAGGTCGTACACTTGACATTGCTTTAAAAAAGGTATATATACACACATATATATAAATATATAGAAGGTATTTTCTCTAACGCGAGCATTTAAAATATTTCTGATTGATTTTAATTATACGACAAAATATTAAAAGTAAAATTGTATGTTCGAAAGAATAAATATTATGATAAGCAAAGAATTTTTTTTAAGATCATATTTTTTGAAATATGAAGATGTTAATAGAATTATATAATTTTTTTACATATATAAAAAAATCATATAATTTCATCTTGATAATTTTTTTAATTATTTTGCACTTAAAGAGAGATATATAGATTAAAGGAATTGTGTATATATATATATATATATATCATACATTTTTATTTAAAAAAATGGCAATATTCTTGATATCTCAAAAAATATGACCAAAGAAAAAAATATTTTGCTTATCTTATAATATTTGTCCTTTCAAAATGAACAACTTTTTCTTTTTATATTTGTTGTATTAAGAACAATAAAGATATTTTAAATGTTTGAATTGGAGGAAACATTCCGTATAGGATTATATCATAACAATTTTTATTCTGCTGAAATTATATAATAAAATAATAAAAAATTAAATTTTCGAATTTGTAGGTAAAGCATAGATTAGTTGAAGGAATGGGTAGTACTACGGCTGATGCACTTGGATTATCGCGAGCTATCCTTTGTAATGATGCTCTTGTCCAAAGATTGATGATGTTGAAGCGCACGGAAAATTTCTATAGAGGTCTCGTTACGCATGCTAAAGCTACATTACATGCTTTTTTCGATCTGATACAAATTTATAAAGGTACAAAAGTTTCGAATAGATATTGTCAGAAGCTGCACAGAATTATTACACAGTATTTATTCATTCGAATTGTTTTTTTTTTTTTTTTTCAGTATTCGGGGATGCTTTTGCTACCATAGGTGTTCGAGAACCACAGCCACGTGCCAGTGAAGCCTTTAGACAATTTGGAGAGCAGCATAGGCAAATGGAAAAGTTTGGAATGATAATGTTAAAAACTCTGAAACCAATATTAAGTGACTTGGGAACATATCTTAATAAAGCCATACCAGATACACGGTTAACCATTAGCAAGTATGCCGATGCAAAATTCGAATATTTATCTTATTGTTTAAAGGTGAAAGAATTAGATGATGAAGAGCAAAGCTGTGTCGCTCTGCAAGAGCCTCTTTATCGCGTTGAAACAGGCAATTACGAATATCGTCTGATACTAAGATGTCGACAAGAAGCTCGTGCAAGATTTGCAAAGCTTCGCTCAGACGTGCTAGTAAAGCTTGAACTGTTGGACAATAAACACGTTCAGGATGTTGTGTGGCAATTGCACAAGTTTGCAGCAGGTTTAGCCAAGTATTATGCCAATACACGGGATTTATTGTCGACAGTAACATTATTCCCGGTTGAAGTCGATTTGTCACATTCTGCATTTCAATACAAATCTACCGGACCGCAAACTTTAACGGATTTAAGTGAAGACATTGAAGAGTACGAATCGGAAGAAAAACAGCAGAACATAAACGAAGAACTTCTCATTGATACATCAAATTTCCCATTGAATTTAACCGATAATACATAGCAATACTTCTTGAGTTTCTAAAGAATTTCGAGATAAATAAGATTTTTGTTACTATATACATGAGGACTTATATATGAGGACTATATAATTTAATTTCTGCTTTCAATGCAACTGTGATTATAGAATTAAAATAAGTCATACGCATGTTATATATACAGGGCGTCTGATAATTATTGAAAACGCTCTTGTGCAGACAAAGTGGATTAAATAAACTAAATAAGTAGATCAAATAAGTATAGAAAAATCCTATACCATATTTCTCTTAATCAAAGGGATGACAGCTAAACATCGAGGCATCATTTTTTACTAATTGAACGAGATTTGCACATATTGAGATATTTTTATTCATGCGCTAAACTGCACTAGAACTTTCTCTTTTGCTAGATAATAAACATATACTTATCTCATTCCAAAAATATATATAATACTAATTCAGTTATAGAAAACCGATTTTTTTATTAAGATTGGAAAACAACACGTTACTTGTAACACTATTACATCGTTTTCGACGTTTTTTTTTATAACAATCTTTACTTTTTTTTATTTATAATGAGGTTTTATTTATAAAGGTTGTTGTATATTTTACAATACAACAATAAAATTTAGCTGTTATTTTTATCGTTACTTTATCCCTTAATAACTATTCAATAGATCGCATTTTTCATTGGTTAAAAATGCTTTATAATAGAAATTTAAATTTAAATTTATATCGAAAAATATTTTCTATTTTATGTCTTAGATTGCGTTCCGATAGTTTCAAAATCTGAAATACAAGTAATACAATACTGAAAATCTGTAATACAAGTAATATGAATTATAAAGTAAATTTTCAATATTCGAAATAAATTAGAATTATTTGAATGAACTTTTAATAACGACATTAATATTTAAACAAAACAATGTTTATTAAAAATTTTTAATAACATTTGCGTTTGTAAATTACAATCTAATTTCCATTTAATAAGTCTCAAATGTAGTGCAATCAATTTCTCCGATTTTCATTGCTGGCTAATTAACTCTATTATAACGATTCAATGGATGCATTCCTGAGTGTTCAAACTCTCATCTAATTGGCATATACTGTTAGATCTTTAAATATAGACCAATCAAATGAAAGAACTCCCTGAATACTTGAGAAGCTATTGCGCATCTGGGTGCGCCATTTAAATAAATGGCGAGAGCGTTGAGTCATAAATCATGAAGATACTAGATGATTATATCAATCTAATCTATCTATCAAATTCTTTGATTTTAAAGGAACTAAGATATTAGAAGCAGATTTGCGCATGCGCAGTTTGACTTTACACTAAATAACGTGACTAGCGTTCACCGTTTAATGCCTTATTATGTCTGAGACTTTATGGATATTTTTGTGCAGGTGGTCTTACTACATTGTTTCTGTTTCATAGTCTGATCGTTCATTGCATTTTGTCTTTTCCGTTGTAAAACGTGGAGTTGAGAAGCGTGGGTTTCTCGTAATCGAATTTTATCTAAGTTTCTTTATAAAAATCATCGAAAGAAAGTACCAAAATGCCTCCTAAATTTGATCCAAATGAAATAAAGAAAGGTATTTTATTTATATTTTTTGTGTAGAGATGAAAACTTTTAAAAAATTTATAATTAACCTTGGAAAAAAATTGCTAAATTGCTTATATTTTTCATACCAGTATTTCTGCGATGCGTTGGTGGTGAAGTAGGAGCTACTTCGTCCCTTGCTCCTAAAATCGGTCCTCTTGGTTTAGTAAGTTAGATAGAAAAAAATAAAATTTCTAACTGAAACTTCTGTATCTTCTACTATGTTTTAGCGCTGAGATAACTACTGTGTCTCTAGGAAGATGTAATAATTTATTTGAGACACTCAATTTTATTATTTAATTCTTGTAAATTTTGTTATAATAAATAATAATAAATTTTAAATT